GGGAGGTCCGCCGGTGCCGCGCCTTCAGCGTACCTGCCGCCAAAACCGTGGGACTGGTGGACCTCCCGCAGGCATGCCGCTGAAGATTGCCTGACTGCCGCCGTCACGGTGACCGGCAGGCCGCCCCCCGCGGCTTGCTACCCCAGGCACGCGCTTGGTACGCTGATGCCCGGAGCCACCCCTGCATGCTGCTCGAAAGTGCCCTATAACAGTATTACTGTGTTCATGCGGAGGCTTTTATCAGTATAGCTAGGGTGGTACAATAGCAGAGCCCTTCCCAATGTAATGTAGAGCAGGGTTAAGCCTTCTGTATAAGCATGCGTCCACACTAGGAAAAAGGATGCTTCCTTTACCATATGTTAACACGCTAAACCCTAGCGAAGACAAGGCTGCTTGTAGTTTTCACCCACGTTAGTAGGTCATGATAAACACAACTGGGGGGCCCTGGGGTTTATTCTCGACCAGCTAACGTGTGTCAGAATGCCAACTGCCTGGGCGGTGCTAGGATTTTGGGGAGAATGAGGAAATGTCTGTATTATTTGCAGGTCTGTGTGCGGGGGAGGGGGGGACGGGTAGGACGGGTTACTTGCTATGGCCTTAGATCAAAAGCGGCCGTTAGGAAAGCCAAGCAGGAAAGGTTAAACAATGGGCCCGAGAAGGGATCATCCCTATGGACGCTGGAACACAACAGCCAGAATTAGAGCCATGAAGAGGTGACTCCAGCTGGTGTGGATGCACCTCCAGAAGTCCCAGTGACACACCCAGGGGAGCGCGGCGCCATGGAGAACGTGGTAACCTAGGCAGGGCTTTGCCCCATGGCTGCTGTCGCCCAGGCTAGGCTAAGCTAGGTACCAATCACCGGCGATAACCCCGCAGTGAAGACGCACTGTTGTTGGTGCCGGCAGCGTTGTTGGTGCTGTTTAATACAGCCAACTAAAGACACTTCCTGCTCGAGAGCCAGAGAACGGAGGGTGCAAGGGGGAAGCAGGAAAACAGAATGCTGGAAGAATTTTATTTTAATGTATTAAGCCCCGACACGTGTTTTGTAGGCCAGAGCTGAATGGGGAGAGGGTGGTAAACGGGTCGGATGGCCCTCAGCATGGAAAAAATGTTCTCTCCTTGTCCCGTGCTTTCTGGTACGGCTCCATGGTCTCCCAGGGGAGCGGTGGTCTTGTTTTGACCAAGCTGGGGATTGGGTTTGCCTTTAAACCTCTGGGACTTGAGTCAAGGGGCCGCTGGGAACAGCGGATCCCTTTCTGGAGCAGACCAGCGGATGGAAAGCTGCGTGGGCGTGAAGCTGATCATGGTGGAAGCTGGAGGTTGGGAGTTAGAGGCTATTGGCTGGGGAGGGCGAGGTCCAAGCCGGCTCAGGTGCGTATGGACTCTCATTAAACTCCCTTCTACCACACTGCCTATTTAAATAAACCCCTCGCCAGTGGCTAAGCAGCCGCTGTGCTGTGCGGTTTTCTATGCAGGCTAATATTGTCTCATTATCTAATATCCAAGGGGAGTGGGGCACCTCTGGAAAAATCTCCCAGTGCTCCCCCATCTGCCTGACTTTATTCACCTGCTGTCCTACACTTCGAGTGTAAGCCTTGTGGAGCAGGGGCTGGCTCTGTTCTGGGCTTGTACAGCACCTAGCGCTGGGGCACCCTGGTCTACCATTGGGGGGAACCGCATGGTTAGAAAGCAGTGCCTGGTGGGTTTTCAAAGGGGGCCCAGTTCCCATGGAATTCATAGCCCTTAGCGTTTGCCCACAGATGACCTGTTTCACTGGGCAGCTGGGCTGTGTACCTGGCAGCAGTCTAAGTGCGCTTGGGCCAATGGACAGGGCAGGTGAAGCCGAAACAGAGCAGGTTCGAGCTTATCCTGGGCGTGTTTCGGAGGAGGGCAGAGGTTTGGTGCTTTGGGAAATCCCATTAAGTGCCTCTCTGCATCTTTAGGCGCCATAAATACCTTTGTATCCTGGCCTTGGGGCGCAGGTGTGATACAAATGTAGCAATTGAAGATTAGAAGCGTAGCAGTGTCGAGAGGCCAGCTAGTCCAGCCCCCTGCACTGAGCCAGGACCAAGTAAACCTAGAGCATCCCTGACGGGTTTGTCCAGGCTGTTCTTAAAAACCTCCAGTGACGGGGATCCCACAACCTCCCTTGGACGCCTGTTCCAGAGCTGAACTAACCTTAGCGTTAGAAACGTTCCTAATCTCAGTCTAACCTAAATCTCCCTTGCTGCAAATTAAGCCCGTTACTTCTTGTCCTACCTCCAGTCGACCTGGAGAACAATGGATGGCTGTCTCCTCTTCACATATTAGGTCCCCCCCATCCGTCTTCTTTTCTCGAGTCTAAACCTGCCCATTTTTTTTTTTTAAACCTTCCCTCACAAGTCAGGGTTTCTAAACCTTTGATCATTTTTGTTTCTTTCTTCTGGACTCTCTCCAGTTTGCCCACATCCTTCCTAAAGGGTGGCACCCAGACCTGGACACAGGACTCCGGCTGAGGCCTCACCAGTGCTGAGTAGACTGGGACAAGGACCTCCCATGTCTTACATGCGACACTCCTGTTAATACACCCCAGGATGATATTAGCCTTTTTTACACCCGCATCACATTGTTGACCCCGACAGCGGGCAGCTGTTCAGAGGTGAAATGT